ACAGAATGAAGAGCCCAAAGAATGTGAAACTTCCAAAGGATAAATCAATCAATAGCAATCGATAATACTCACTTGAAGTTCCGAACATTGTCGATTTGACCGTAGAGCACACCTTGAGCTGAGTGGCTATCGTTGGGATACGTTCGGCCATTTGAAGGAGAGCCTAAATTATATAAATTCTGAAGCATTTCCCTAAAGGTGAACACTTTTCCTGTCAGGGTGTCTCTGCATCTCTAACACTAGCCGATGTCTGAGTCTCTAACAAGCGGTTGAGCACATCTGATAGCGAACTCATCGCGAAAAAAGCGGCACAACACCGGTCACGAAAAACACTTGGAATTTTGACAAAGACGACAGAATGTCACTTAAAATCCTTCCGAATAATGTCGTTTTCCTAACGATCGAAGAATCACTCTAGATCCCTAGGAAATCTATAATCTTCCCGTTGAAGCGCTTACCATTCGCATCTTGAGATCCGTGCAGAGGCGAGCGAGTTGTACTGCCAGTCGGGTGACCTCCTCACTTGAGTCAGCGATTGCTTTAGCGCATTCGATGAGGTCCTGCAACGAGATGATTCTAATAAAAGCTAGATGAAGGATATTTAGGTCCTAGTTAAGTAGGGAAATTGCTGATTACGGTAGCACTGCCACAAAGTCCTACGAGTCGCTAGATGTTCAGCTACGGAAAACGGTCAAGACAATCGTAATTCGCAGTGCCGACGCGCGCGGCGCATCGTGCGGCAATAGGCGCAGCAACTGATTGGCAGCTGGTTAGCAATTTCGCTACTGAACAACAAGAAGGTAGAATCCCTAGTTCGTAATTTCTTCCTGCCCAAGTACCCTACTAGTGAGGAACAGTTGGCATTAGAACATCGTATATGCGATTGCGAACTATATAGTTGCCGCACGCAGCAGGGGAAATGGCTGGCCACGCCCACCAGCGTGGCGACTCCCTACTCGCTTAGTCACATATGCCATTTAGCCTCCTCATGGGTGAATCACGCCGGCTCACCACGTGAGATAGCCCAATAAGGATGTTGCAGCGATGAGTCGAGCTATAAATAACATCATGTCATTATCCCTGCAGAAGAGTGGGCGTGTAAGGAGGGCGCGCATTGGGGCGTGGCCGAAACAGCCTTTTCCACCAATTGTAAAGGTCTGAGGATTGCATTAATTGGTGAAAAAGGCCGTAACGGCTGTGCTCCAACCCAGCCCCCTCACAAACTCTTTCGTTTGCAACGACAGTGACTGCAATTTATCCACTCTGCGTCACAAACAACAATGCACTAGTTCAAGGCACAGTCCACGCAGATTGTGTGGGAGGAGTAAGGCCTTTCCTATTAACACTAGCCTCTTATAAATCGTCGTGGATGGAAGCATAAGTGAGGTGAAACTAGTATATGCCTGGTTACGCCTACATGGCCCACGTGAACG